CTTGTGAGCTAAGTGTATTGTCACACCCCTAGTGTCGATAAGTGGTGATATAGCTCATAATTTTCCAAGTGTACTATATAGCTTTCATTCTTCAGGTCAACCATATATTCATGAAAAAAAAAAACAGTTTGAATAAGGAAAGCAATAACTTTGCCATAGTATCCTTTCAAATGTTAAAGTTGCCACAGTCGTTGCATGCTTTGCATGTGCTGCTCCATCCCCCACCTCCGGAAAAAAAGTTCAGGCTCAGGATTTTTTTTTTTGCTTTAACCCCTGTAATAAGTACACATAAATAAAATACACTGTAACATAATAAGTATTTTAAACAAATGTCATGCATTGTTGATTCATAAATATCATTACAATTTTGAGGGGTTGTATAACATGACATTTTACAACCTGATCTAACCTTGACATAAAAAGCTCACAATTAACTGATATTTCTTTAAAATAAATAAATGCCACTTGCTGTAATCAAATGCAATGATATTGATACTTTTTTATGAATGTGTCTTAAAGTGTTTTTAAACATCAAATGCTCGAAAGCCAGTTAGATACAAAAGTGCATATTTTGCCGTCCGACTTTGCATGTAAACTTTATTTACTCTCAGTATCTCTATGCAAACGCCTAAATCCCTCCGCAAACAGTCACAGTAAAAGAGCAAAGCAAGGATTTGTAGAGTGCGCAGGCAATGTGTGCATACGTACAAAAGCACAATAGCTCATAACGTAAGCGAAAGCAGCCCAGGATCAAGAAATTGCTGTAGATGTGAGTACAGTAAAGCTTTGGGTGTGTTCCTGAAACTGACCCATCAAGTATGCACGGCAAGGTTGTTTAGTCACCTTTTACCCTCTTTCCATTTAAAAACCATCTCTGTTGTGTTAAGAATAGCAGCTTACATTCATGACAAAAAAAAAACACTAGTGTAACAGATGCACACAGCCATCCATGTGAGATTTAGCTGTAACACTTCCATTAAAATCACATACTTACTAATTTGTGCACGCTGCATACAAGTATGACTATTCTGTGCCAAACTGAGTTGAAAAAAGGAAACGTATCAGTCTTCTTATAGTCTCAATCTGTGCGTCAGTGACTTGAATGCTAAGCCGTCATATTTCCATGTAAATCTGTTTGCTCTCCACTTATGTGCCAAGAACATCAAAGATGAAAGACATTACTGACGGAATATAACAAAGTTATATTTAAATCTCCTAAAATCCCCCTTATTTACTTCTACTTTGATCTATATCAATCAACCCATCCATATGCACAAAAATATTCCAACAACTATTTGCCGTTTCTTTAGAAGAACTGTTATGACAAAAAAAAAACAGTGCAGATGAGATTGAGACATTTCAGATGAGACATTTCAGTGGAATTGACAACAGGCATGAGACATACTGCAGAAAAAGCATAGTGATGGCTTGAGGCAGGAATGTGAGGTGTAACTCCACACACACATACACTGATTTTCACAGTATAAGAGTACGTTCTTATCTCTGAAACATGGTGTCCCATGTACACTGTGAGGTTATATGCTCTTGTTATCTTTTAGTCGGCGACAGTCTCTTACACACCCGTAAGGAAAGAAAAAAGAAAAATCACAAATGTTTAGTATCTTTAATATCTCAATCGGAACTCCTAGACAACAATGACGTTATATGGGGGGCAAATAAGGAATGTTGCAAGCCTCCTATATTAAACAACCTTATTAATCTCACGTGTGTCCTCTAGAGTTTGTGAAATTTCAACAGTATAACAAACTCTGCTCATATTTGCCAAGATAATAAAATATGTAGTCAAAAGTCAGATATTCTAACAATTCTCAATGATTTCTTCTAAGACTAAATGATCTGAGTGAACAATATAGCTTTTTTTTTCTTTTACAGATTTGTAATTGTACTGTACTGTAAA